CCTGGGGGAGGGGGAGGGGAGTGGGGTGGTTCGGTAGCTGCTTTCACTGGACAACCTGGTCCACTCGCTCCCTCGGCTGGCCACCGGCCGTGCCGCTGGTCCGTGCGTGAGGGGGCCACTGGTAGTGGGTGGCAAGGCAGCTCTCTCTCTCTCTCTCCTCCCCCTCCCCCCCCCCACACACACACGCATACACGCACGAACACCCACACGCACGCACACGCATACATACGCAGTCAAAGGCGCGCAAGAAGTTACGCAGGAGGGAATGTATCCCAGACGGCGGGCTGGACGTGGAGGCTTTCTGCGGACGAACGGGCTCAAGCTGGTAGTGGCAGCGCTGGCGGTGTATGTGGTGGTCCACTTTGCCACCTCGCACACCGGGAGTGAGCCACAGGCAGGGCGGATGATGGCCGATCAGGGCCGTGGGAGTGGTGCGAGTCGCGGAGATGGTGCCGGGCATGGAAATGGTGTTGGTCTAGGTGACGCTGGGCGGGGGCTTGGCAGCCTGACGTTGGGCAAGAGACACGGTCAGCCGCCGCCGCCGCCGTCGCCAAAGGCGCACGGGCCCGATGGAGGCGGCGGGCGATGGGCAAAGCCAGCACCCAAGCCAAGCTCGCATGTGATTGATCATGTGCATGGGGAGCATGATGAGAGCGAGGGCAAGGGCGAGGGTGAGGGCGAGGGCAAGAGCAAGCACGACTCGAACAAGTGGCCGCAGCTGTCCAAGGAGGTGGTGGCCAAGTACGCGTCGAACACGGGCAAGATTCTGGTCACGTTTGCCAACCACAACCACGAGGACTACATCCGCAACTGGGTCTACCACCTGGCTTCGATTCCGATGGACAACTACTTGGTGTGCGCCTTTGATGATGAGCTGATGGAGTACCTGACGCAGAACGGACTCAACGGCGCGTTTGTGCCTGCGGTTCTTCGCAAGCAGACCTTTGAGTGGGGCTCGGCCGGGTTCAAGAAGCTCAACCGGTACAAGTGGGAGGCAGCACTCTCGATTCTCGAGTGGGGCTTTGGCCTCTTCATCACCGACGCCGACACAGTCTTCTTCCGCGATCCGATTCGGTGGGTGGAGGACTACGGCGAGGACGCCGACGTGCTGGCGTCGACCGACTACCTGCGCCCGACGACATGGAAGGACGAGTTGGAGGATTTGACGCAGACCCACATTGCGTGGTGGGCGCAGAACATCGGAATGATGTACCTGGCGCCTAGCGAGCGTATGATCACCTTTTTCCGCAAGTGGACCAAGCTCATGAACGACAACCCGGACTACGGCAACCAGTGGTCGTTTACTGAAATGCTCTCGGACGGCGTCGAGGTGGACTACTCGGACGGTCTGCAGGGGTACGCCAAGCTGGAGCTCGCGTCGAATCACACATTCTGGGCTGCCAACCACAGCGTGATTCTGGGCATGCTCCCGCTGGCATACTTTCAGAACGGCCACTCGTACTTTGAGCAGCGTGGATGGCGCAAGCGCAACATCCAGCCGGTTGCTGTCCACACCACGTACGTGTATGCGTTCAACGGCGCAAAGCGGCACCGCTTCCGCGACGACAAGCTCTGGCTCGACGACGACGCGTACTACTCGAGCGGCTACTTTCTGGCCTTTGACAACGTGCCGCCGCCCGAACTGATGGTGGACCACTCATGGGACGTTCCATTTGACAAGGTGCCTGCGCATCACCTGGTCCTTGTCGACTACCAGATCCAGCGGGTGTTTGAGGCGATGGCCGTGGCCCGCGCTCTCAACCGAACCCTCGTTCTCCCGCCTATCTACGGCACCTGCGATCGGTACTTTGCCCAGCTCAACAAGTGTCGCTACCCGCACGCCGAGAAGGATGAGATTCAGTTCCCGGACGTCGTGCCTGCCGACCATGTCTTTCGGCAAGAGCTACTTCTTGAGGTCCGCGAGGCGTCGTTCCTCACAAACCCGCGGGTGCCGATGGCGGTGCTCTCGGACCGGGTCTTTGTCAACGTCTGCGACGAGCTCGACGGCACGCGTGAGGTTGTGGCACCAGTCGCGCCCGCAGGCACCAAGGGTGACGTTGAGTGTGTCAAGCGCTCGCTGGCGCGGTTCGATGCCAACTATGTTGCTGCATCGACTGTCCACCTTGCAAAGGGACTCACCGACGTCGAGCTCGCTGATGCGCTCGCGCCGGCCAACGCGGCCCGCGTCCTCCACTTTTCGTCGATGGAGGGCACTTTTGCCGGCTTTGAGGACTCTGCTGATGCCCTCGCCTTTCTCAAAGATGCCCGCAAGTGGATCGGCACTTGGTGCTGTACCTACGCCTCGGGCGCCATCCACTACGACTCGGCGCCGGCCTTTATCCCACGCGACATGATCTCGCGTGTCCCGCCTGTCTACACCAACAAGTTTCCGTACAAGGATGATACCGGCCAGCCGCTCAAGTTCTCGCCGCCACCGACGCCGCCCAAGGCCTAGCAGTGGTACAGCAAGGCTCGAACAACGAGTAAATGCCAATCTGTCTCAGGACAGCGGCCGAACGGCACAACGTATGCCCGGCTCGAGTCACGCAACCACACTGGACTCGAGAGCGGACAGCATGCGGGAGGAGCCATGCCAGGACCTCTGCAGCCGGTTCTCTGTAGAGACATGCATCCGGGTGCGGCATCTCTCATTCATGGCGACGTACGTGGGTGGGTGGGTGGGAGGGGGGGGGGGGGGGGAGAGGAGGTGGGGAGGGAGGGGGTTGGGCGGCAATGGGGGCGATGCGATGCCGGGCATCATGGGCATGATGTGGATCATATCACTTACCACACTCTTTGCACACACACGAACAACCACGCACACACACACACACACACTGACTCACGACCTCGCTCTATCGCTCGGTCGCTCGGTCCCTCTGTCGTCCTTTCTTTGTATGTGATGGACGGGCCCGCCGACCCGCCGCCATCGGCTTCCTCGCTCACACCCGTGCTGACTCATCGAACCTTGATGCTGTAGCATTCTTGTGTGGATGCCGGTGGGAACGTGTATGGTACTGCTTGCTGTACTGGTGCTCGGCGATGAAGCGCAGCGCGAGTGCGATGCTCCGCTGGCGGTGGTCCTCGCCGGCTTTGCCGCCCTCATCTTTGCGCGCATCCTGCCTTACGCCATGCTCGTGGGCCGCATGCTCTACGGTGTGGTCAAGGCATATCCGCCGCGGTGGCGCATAATCTACCATGTTGCCACTCTCGGCCTCCTTGGCGTGTGGGCGATCATGGGCCTCATCTCGCTCGCATCCTCATCGACCTGCTCCGACACCGCACCCACGCTCTTTGGCGCCACCGCTCTCCTCGAGGCACTTGTTCTCCTCTGGCTCGCCATCGACATTCCGTTCATCTTCTTCCTCGAACGCGTCTGGTTCCTCCGATGGCAAGAGTCCGAGTATGATGTCGACGATGATGGCGACGACGACGAGTGCTATGACGACGAAGACTGGCATGGCGACGGCGAGCCGTCATACTCGCTCAACGACCGCCTCTCATCCACAGACGATACCATCTCCAGCACTACCACCACCACTCTCCGCACTGATGACAACACGGACGGTGATGGCGGTTCCAGTCTCACGATCTCATACGCGTAGTAGCCCACCCTCCCCAACCACTGAACCACCCAACCACCTTTCATTCGCTATACACACCCAATCGCCACCTTTGATCCCCAGACCATGCCCCCTGATCTCTCCCTCTCGCTCTTCCTTCCTCAAACTATCTCCACGACTCTGTCTCCTCACGATCCGCCGCTAACGTCCGCACGCCGTGACCCACACGCCCAACCACCTCTCCCTCCACCACACACACACACACACACACACACACACGCACACACACGCTCTCTTTCTCTCTCTTATACCATGTCGGACACCTCCCCGACAGAAGACGCCCATGCCCCCGCCACCCTCCCGCAAATCCACACCTCTATTCTCCGCCGGCTGTCGTCGACCCACACAGCCCACTCGCGCCTGACGCCCACTCTGGCGGCGGCTTCGGTGGCTGCTGCGGCTGCGAGTGGCGCCTTGGATGCTGTCAGCTCGCCAGCCATCACGTCATCGCCGCTGGGTACTCCAGGTCTGGCAGATGATGGGCCCGGTCGCTGCGAACCGGCGTTTGCATCACCGCTGCCGTCGCCGGTGCCGCAGCTGACCTCGCCAGGCGTCGACGTCCGCATGCCGACCACGCCGCCAACCACGCCGATGCCCACACCGCTAGCGGGTGGGGCGACGGCATCGCAGACGGTGCACCTGCCGACCTTTCTCCGCACGCTCTCGGCGACAGGGCTCTCGCTCTCGGACGCGCGGGTCCACGAGGCCGTGAGCGTGTGCATGGACCACCTCGCGGCCGGCTACGAGGAGATGGATCTGGCCGTCTTCCGGCGATCCGTCGCACCCAACTCGCTGGTTATCGACAAGGCGCTCTCGGGCGCCTTGTTGTTCCGCACTGGGAGGCCTTTGCTGGCGAGGTGGGCGATCTGTTCGAGTCGGCCGGGAGCAACGAGTCTGGAGCGGTGGCGACATACATCCCGCAGCTCGCCAAAGTCGACCGCAAGCAGTGGGGCATCGGCGTGTGCACCATTGACGGGCAGCGGCTTGCGCTGGGCGACGCCGACGTCCCGTTTTCTATCCAGTCATGCACCAAGCCGGTGACGTACTGCATGGCGCTTGAGGCGTATGGCCGCGAAAAGGTTCACCAGCACGTCGGCATGGAGCCATCCGGCCGCAACTTTAACGAGCTCGCCCTCGACTCGTCAGGCCGCCCGCACAATCCGCTCATCAACTCGGGTGCCATCATGTGCTGCTCGATGGTTGCGCCGTCCAAGCCGCTCTCGCAGCGGTTTGCTCTCGTCATGCAGACGTGGAAGCGGCTGCTGGGCGGTGGCGACGTCACCTTTTCCAACGCTACCTACTTGTCAGAGCGAGCGACGGCCGACCGCAACTTTTGCCTCGCATACATGATGCGCGAGGCGGGCTCGTTCCGGAAGGCACCGACCTCGACGCCGCGCTCGACCTCTACTTTCAGATCTGCTCGATGATGGCCTCGGCGTCGATGCTCTCGATCTTGGCTGCCACGCTCGCCAATGCGGGCGTCTGCCCCATCACCAACGAGGTTGTCTTCTCGCCCGAGACCGTCGAACACTGCCTCTCTATCATGTTGACCTGTGGCATGTACGACTACTCGGGCGAGTTTGCCTACCGGGTTGGCCTCCCGGCCAAGTCGGGCGTCGGCGGCGGCATTTTGCTGGTGGTCCCGGGCGTCATGGGCATCTGCACCTGGTCACCCTCTCTTGACGTGTACGGCAACTCGGCGCGCGGTCTCGAGTTCTGTGAGACCTTTGCCGCTCGGTTCCGCCTCCATCCCTTCCACCGCTTTGCCGACGACAGCGGGGCCAACGTCGAGCGCCTCGGCGCACAGCTGATCAAGTCCAAGGCCGTCTCGCTCTCGGTCCACCTGGCCTCTTTTCTCTTCGCTGCTCGCGACGGCGCAGTCCGCGAGCTTCAGCGGCTGCTTGCGCTCGGCTTTCCAGTCAACGCCACCAACTACGACTCGCGGTCGGCGCTGCATCTTGCAGCCTCCGAGGGCCACAGCCACGCTGTCTCGTTTCTTGTGGCGCAGCCGGGCATTGAGCTCGAGCCGCGCGACCGGTGGGGGCGGACTCCGCTCGACTGCGCCCGGCTTGCTGGTCACCTCGACGCCATGATCCTCCTGCGGGCGGCGGGAGCGTCAGACGATGGTCCGCCGCTTGCCTCGGCCGGCGAGAGTGACCCGCAGGCCTCGTTTGACATTCTGCCTGGTGACGATCGGCCGGAACTCAGCCTTGACGTTGACCCGATGGAACTGTACTTTCATCTGCCGCGGCGTGAGCGGGCGGCGCACCTCGCGCATGTGGTCGACGACGACGCGTCGGGCGTAGTCCACCTCCGCTCGATCGTCTCGCTGTTCAAGGAGATGGGCGTCCGCGCGTCGGACCTTCGGCTCAGAACGCTCATGTCGCACCTTGCGCTCCCGTCGAGCAAGGCACCGCAAAGCTCGCCGCGGACGGCAGTGGCAGCAGTGGGTGGTGCTGGGCCCGATGAGGTCGAGGCGGTCATGGTCGAGGTCGGTCTTGAGTTTGACGACGACGCAGGCGGCGACCTCAAGCCCTCGATCTCGCATGCATCGATAGCAGCCGAGGCGCCGCACTCGTGGGTCGGACACTCGTCGTCAATTGTGACGTTCTCGACTCTTGAGGCCGAGCTACTTTTGCAGCAGGCGCGCTCGACGAACAAAACATATGGCGGGTTGGAGCGGGTCGACTCGCTCAACGACTCGTCAGCGTCGATGCTGCTGAGTACGACAACGCGGTCGTTTCCTGCGGCATCCGGGCTAGAGGCGGTCGAGATGACACTCGACGAGTTTGCCAAGCGGTGCGCTCGGCTCGACGAGTACCATTTTGCCTTTTTGGAGGCTACAGTTCAGTCCCGGATGGCTGTCCCGTCGTGGTCGTCGTTCTCCGCGCGGATGACCGAGGCGTTTATCAAAGTCTCGCGCATTCCGGCGCTCCACCGCGGCGCGTCGGTTGCATCGTACATTCCGCTGCTCGCGCAGCAAAACGCCGAAGCGTGGGGCCTGGGCGTGTGCACGGTCCACGGCCAGCGGCTGGCAATGGGCGACCTCCCGCCTGTCTCGCTGCAGGCGGTCACCGCGCCGATCTCGTACTGCCACGCCGTGGACAAGTACGGCGAGGATGCGGTGCACAAGGTGGTCGACCGCGAGCCGTCGGGTGAGGCCTTTAACGCGCTCCTCCTCAACCACCGCGGCGTGCCGCACAACCCGCTGGTCAATGCCGGCCATCTCGCAGTCCTCGCCCTCATCCTCGCCGAGCAGTCCAAGGGTCGCGGCCAGGCCTCGTCGCCGTCCGAGGACGCAGAGCGGTTCTCGTACTTTGAGGAGCTCTGGTCGCACGCCGCCGGCAACGTGGCGCCGACGTTCAACAACGCTATGTACCTGTCGGAGCAGGAGACCGCCGACCGCAACTACTCGCTGGCATACATGCTGCGATCCAAGGGCTTGCTCGAGAACACGCCCGGCTCGGTCCGACGAACGCTCGACCTCTACTTTCAGCTCTCGTCACTCGAGCTCACGCCTGACGAGCTGGCGGTTGTGGCGGGGACGCTCGCCAACGGTGGCGTGTGCCCCACGACACAGGAGCGGGTCTTCTCGGCCGATGCCGTGCGGGCGTGCCTCTCGGTCATGTTCTCATCCGGTGTGTTCAACTCGTCAGGTGAGTTTGCGTACGACATCGGCGTCCCGGTCATCGCCTCGGTCTCGGGCCTCATCATGGTGGTGGTGCCCGGCGTGATGGGCATGGTCACCTTTGCGCCGCCGCTGCTGGAGAACACGTTCTCCATGCGTGGCTACGCCTTTCTGCACAACCTCGTCAGACAGCAGTTTTCGCTCCATGCGTACGCTACCTCGCACCAGCTCTCGAACCACGACGATGCCAAGGCTCACGCGGCCGAGGCCGTCGACGTCGTCAAGATCGACGTGACCCAGCTCCAGTCGGAGCGCGAGCATGAGGCCGTGTCTGCCGTCCTTGTCGCCGCTGCCCTTGGCGACCTCCGCGAGCTGCGGCGGCTCAAGGCGCTCGGCGTGACCTTTGGCTGCTCCGACTACGACGGCCGCACCGCGCTCCACCTTGCTGCGTGCGAAGGCCACGATGGCGTCGTCGAGTTTCTCCTCGACGAGGGAGAGCGCCCGGTCTTTCGCGATCGCTGGGGCCACACCGCAGTTGACGACGCCCGCGACGTCGGCGGCGCCGTCTGGTTCCTTCTCCGCCCGTTCGAGGCCATGGCCGAGTCCGCACCTGCCCACAGCGAGGCCAACACCCAGATGCGCTACAGCCGCGGCGCTCCCAAGTCCGGCACCAGCGCCGCGCCCGCTGCCAGCCTCGACTCGGACTCGTTCGCCAACTCGCCATCGGATCCTGATCTGGCCGCTGGTCAATCCGACATTGTTGTCCTGTAACCCACTTGCTGCGGGCAAAGCCGTGATACGCCTCGGCCAACTTGACTCCAAAGCGCCATGTCGGCCGCGCCTCGGAGCGGCACTCCGGGCAGACGGGGCAGCGGCAGACGACTTGAAGTACCACACAGCCACACACATGCACATACACATGCACATACACATGCTCGTACACATGGCCATGGCCATGATGACTGGCGACGAGAGGCCGAGTCCAGAGAGCCTCAGGCCGGAGCCGGAGCCGGCGTCGGCGTCGGCCACGCTCCGCCGCGGCCTCTGCACCGCCCACCGCTATCGACGCGCCCAATGCCACTTGCGGGAACGACATCGACGCGATACGCCGGTGGGCGGGTTGACTCGCTCGAGCGGAGGCTGCTGCGCGAGGAGATCCTGGCGCTTTACGGCCGACAGCATCCCGGCAGGTCAAGCCGATCGTCATCGGGCGAGTTTGCAGACGCGACTGGGTGCGGCGGCGGGAGCGACGGGTCGATCGCGGACGGAAGCGAGAGTGGGGGCGAGAGCGAGAGCTGTGGGAGTGATAGCAGGATGGAAGTGGCGGCGCGAAGGGTGCTGAACCACATCTCAGTGACGGCAACGTCATGCTCGAGCTCGAGCGAGACCTTGAGCGAGGCCCGGAGCGTCGTCTCTGACGGCAACGACCTGCTCCATGCATGGGATGCGGCGCATACGCCGCGAATGGAAGGATCGAGCCGTAGTACGCCACGGTCTGGGCGCCATGTGGTCGATGCGACGGGGACGGCCGGCGAGCGCAACTCGCGACTGGTGAGCCTCTCAGCCAAGCTGCACAACTTTGGCGGCTCGCTGCGGCGGCTCGACCGCGGTATCGTGTCATTTGTGGCCAAGTCTTCGGCGGCGATCACGTCAAAGCTCAAGGCGAGCCTCGGTTTCGACGACGTCGGTGCTGGCATCTCGATCGAGGAACTGGTGGCCGGCCTCACCCGAGAGCAGCGCGTGGCGCGGGCGGGATACTTTATCGAGGACGCGATGCGCCACCGGTACCAGTTTGGCAAGGGCATGTACTACTTGCAGGACCCGCGACGGATGGCGGTGGTCTCGCTCCGCGAGCACTGGGCGTATCAGGGAGCACTGCAACTGATTGTGATGTTGTACATGGCGCAGGCGCTGCTGGTGCTGCCTGACGAGGCGCGACCGGACGGGCGGCCGGCGACGGTGTGGCGAGTGGGCGTCATGACTGCATTGCATGTAGCCAACGGGCTGGGTGCGGCGACGATTTTCAGCGACGTGCTGCTCCGATCGTATGTGTGGGGCTGGCGAGCCTTTGTACGGTCCAAGGTCTCGCTGCTTCAGGGTGTGCTGGTTGGTGTGCTGGTGGTTGACACTCTGGTCGCGCTGCTAGGGCTGACGTCGTCAACCGGGCGTGGGTTTAAGCTGGTGCGCGCGGGGCGGGCGCTACTTGTGTTTCGATCGCGGCGTGTGCGCGGGACGGTGGCGGCGGTGGTGGCGACGATTCCATCTGTGCTTCATGTCTCGCTCTTCATTGTGCTTATCATGCTGATGTACGCAATCATGGCGATCCAGCTCTACAGCGAGGTGGACGGGTACACTACATTTGAGAACTTTGACTCGCTGGTGCCTGCAATGCGGTCACTGTTTGTCCTCCTCACGGCCGACAACTATCCGGACGTGGTAGTGCCTGCGGCGGGGCGGTCCGGGTATGCTGCGTGGGTATACTTTGCGTCGTTCCTGATTGTGGCGACGTTTGTCTCGTTCAACATTGTGCTCGCGGCGATGGTCCCATTCTACAAGGACGAGCATCTCAACTTTGTGCTGATGGAACGGGTTCAGGAGCGCAAGGCGCTCATCTGCGCCTTTGCGCTCATCGACGTCGACTCGTCGGGCTGTCTCGAGGTGCCCGAGTTTGTTGAGACGGTGCTGAGGGTGGCGCCCGAGGCGTCGCCGGACAAGGTGGCCAAGCTGTTTGCGTTTGCCGACGCCGATGGTGACGGGACGGTGGACATGCTGGAGTTCTTCGACATGTGCAATCTGCTCGTGCATCGCAAAAAGGACTTGCAGCCGGTCCACGGCCGGTCGCGGTACTGTGTCCCGATGCGGATCCGGGTCATGGTCCACGAGTTTGTCGAGTCGCCGCTCGTCCAGTGGCTGCTCTTCATTCTCCTTGTGGCCAACACGGTGGTGTTTTGCCTCTTTGGTGCGGTCTCGAGCGAGGTCGAGGATCGTTTGCATGTCATCAACGACGTCTTTCTTGGCGTCTTCACCCTTGAGGTCGTGCTCAAGCTCGCGGCGCTCTCGCCGACGCTCTTCTTTGCCGACGTCTGGTCGCGATTTGACTTTGTGGCGGTCATTGTGTGTGGGCTCGGTTCACGACTGGTCAATGTGTACATCCAGCGCGCGGGTTGGGCGTCTGCAGGCGTCAAGTTCAACGTCCAGAGGTGGTCGCGGGGGCTGGGCGTGGTGAGGATCTTCCGCATCATGGCGGCGTTTTCGGCGTTCAAGGCCGTCGCCGAGACACTGTACAACATCCGCGGCATTCTCATTCAGTTTCTGGGCATCATCGGCCTTATTTTTTACATGTACGCCATTGTCGGGCTGGATCTGTTCACATATGCGCTGTCGGACGAGTGGGTCAACTTTGAGACGAGCTCCGGGGCAGCTCTGGTGCTATTCCAGGTACTCGCCGAGGCCGAGTGGGCGGATTTGATGTACGCCGCGATGGGGCACACCTCGGACTGGGCGGCGTACTACTTTCTCAGCTTTGTCGTTGTCACCAACATTCTCATCCTCAACACCTTCATCTCGATCCTGCTCGAGGCATTTGAGACTGGGTTCGACATGAACCAGTTCAAGGTCAAAAAGTCGCACTTCAAGTCGGTGCTCCAGCGGTTCATGCCGTCTCGGGGCCGACGCGATGGCGAGCGCCGCAAGCGAGTCCGGCTCAGGGTGCCTTCGGGCTCGGGCTCACGGTCGGGCTCGTCATGCAACGACATGCCGGCTCGCCACGACTGGGAGCAAGCCATCCACGGCGAGCAGCTGGCAACCATCAGCGAGCGCGAACTGGCCGAGCTCGCGGCGGCCGGCGTCGACACGGCTCACTTGTCGCGGCTGATCGATGTCCGCCGCGAGTCGAGCACCGATCTTCTCGCGCCTGTCGACATAAGCCGCCCAGCCGTACCCAGGGTCGACGTTCTCCCGCCAACTCCGGCTGTCGAAAGATCCCCGGCATGCGAGCTGGACGGTTATGCGCTCTCGCAGTCGGACGACGCAGAAGCCTCGCTGACAGACTTGGTGAGGCCGGGCCTTGCGCTGACATCGGACGCGGACATTACGGCCCTTGGGCAGCAGAGTGTAGTTGGCCCAGCCGAGGGCGAGTCGTCCAGCGATTGGAGTGATGACGAGGAAAGCGAGGTCGATGTGGATGCTGTGCTGGCTGTCCTCGCAGCGCGGAGGAGCGAGCGGGCTGCGCGCGCAGCCCGGGTCCGGACATGAAAGCGCACGTGCGCAGGAAAGCCGCATTGCCAGCTTTCGCCCCCTGGTATGCTCAGGAGGTAGGGCAGCCGTAGCGAGCCGTCCATGCCGTGCAGGACATCGAGGTGACACGCGGGTGGCGAGGCGGGTGTGGTTCGTAGGTGAATGGCGGAATGGCATCGACATAAGAGACCGAGACGACCGGCGAGCTAGGGGACAGCGGTGCAGAGGTACAGAGCCAGGCCGTGGTGTGAAAGAAGCGGCGCTCGGTGAGCGCATCGTACACGCCGTACTCGCTGATTGCAAGCATGCCAATGTCGGCGTGAACGAGCGAAGCCTCTGTCGAACCAGGTGCAGGCCAAGCCGGTGTATCGCCGTGGGCCGGCATCGAAGCGGTCAGAATGACGCCCGACGCGGTGTTGCCGGTGTAGAGATTGTAGCGGAGCGGGTCCGGAATGCCACCGTAGAGGCCAACGAGGGGGATGACGAGTGCCACAGCGAGTAGCAGAGCAAAGTACGCCGAGGCCGCGAGCGGCGAGACAAACGACGAGTACGCGTCGAGAACCGGGAGCAGGTGGCAGGGAGGTGACGTATGGGCATTGACGCGCCGGCGGTACTTGGCCGCCGGATCATCGATGCCGGAAGCAGGGTCTGAGTCCGGCGACAGTGCCAGGACCGGTGCAATCCAGAGAAGCGCCAGCAGTGCAGCGTGATGGAGGTTCCAGGCCCAGACAGCATGATTCCAGCCGTGAGCGTAGAGCGAGACAACGATGTAGAGGTGCATGGCGACGAGGGCGGCGGCGACAGCAGCTGCGGCGAGGTCCAGTACGCGGACAAACAGCGAGTGGGAGCTGTGCGGAGGCGGCGGTCCCGGTGCGAGCGCCCAGAAGCCAATCGAAGCAGCGAGGAGGACAAGACCGCCGCCAACTTCGAGGACAACAGCGGCGGCTTCGCCGTAGCGGTCGATGATGGCCAGGAGAAGGCTCGCGCCGGGCATGACAGAGGCAAGAAGAAAGGTCCGCGCTGGGCCGATGACAAAGTCAAAAGCACCGGCAAAGAGCGAGGTGAGCTTGCCGAGGCCAGAGGCCAGATACACGCCTGCAAGGATGATGCGGACAGAGGCAGTTCCGGCGACTTGCGGGAGCGCTCGCGGGACAGCGCCGAGCCCGATCAGCATCCACGAGAGCTCCCATGTGTACGGCTGAAGTCGGCGCTCGTGTGGGACAACGACGGCGAGACCAAGAAGGCCAACCGCGAGCACGAGTGTCCGGAGGAGAGTCTGTGCCATGATGGGCGGGCGGGCGATGGCGGCAAGGACAAGAAGCGAGGCAGCCAGATACGCGGGGACAAGAACCAGATCCAGCGCGGGAGCCCATGGCACCAACCAGCACGGCAGCCAGAAAGCCGGCAGCGGAGGCAGCGATGGTGGCGGAGCGAAGAGCCATGACAGCAGCAGAGTGGGCACAAAGGCCTTTGGCGCCGCCCATGTCATGGTGACCAACAGAGCCATCACCGTCACCGCCGTGGTCAGCTCCCATAGATGGGTCGAGGTCATGCGGGCGGAGGCCTGTACTTTGCGCATGTTGTGGAGGAGGAGGAGGGGGGAGGGGGGAGGGGGGGGGGGGGGGGGGCAGGGGACAGGTGGGGCCGGGGGGGGGGGGGAGAGGGGGGGGCGGAAAGCCAACCTGTGTGGCGGTGGCAGCCAGGGCCAGGGTCAGGCTCACACCACAGCTACGAACAAGGCACTACATCACCTGACTGCACACACACTCACACACACACACACACACACACACGTACATACAACACACGTACATACAACACACACACTCTCTCTCTCTCTCTTGCTCACACCCATATACGCTCGCACACTCTCTCTCCCCTCCCCTCCCCTACCCGAACACCTCCACACACACCTCCCTCCCCCCCCCCCCGCTCGTGAAAAAAAACTTTTCAATACATAAGAAAACCCCCATTCCGCGTTGGAGCCTAGCCAAAGAGCTAAACGGGAAATTTGTTTTTTGCAACGTTATTAAGCTGATTAAATCAAGCAATACAGGGACAGAGTGAGACATGAAAAAACGAAATAGCGAGGAATAGGAGATCTCCCAAAAGGAGTCAAGATCATATGCAATGATCAAGATGATCGCACACACAGCGCGATCCAACTGAGG